CCCAAACTATTACGTTTCCCGTAGCGTTTTTCAGGTGAATTTCTAAAACAATATTTGGATATATCTATATATAGACAGACTCTGATATCTATATAGATTTATTCAACCACAAATGTGTTATTTTCTTCCACCATCTTTTGCCATTTTTGAAGCCGATTCATAATATCACTTTTCCAGCACTGCGTATGTGGAACCCCTTTACAGAATCGTAGAAAGATGCAATAGATTTAAGTTATATTAGTTAAACTCAAAATTAACTCATTTACGTGCAATCTTTCGGTTCTAATTTGAACTTCCACATTCGCGTATATTAACCAATCAAAGACGTTAATTGTAAGCGCGTGAAGACCTTTGAAACTTTCAGACAACAATGTATGTAGTCTGCTATGAAATTTTGAAGGATCACTCCAGAAAACGATCAACAATATTCTCCCTCCAAAATTAGATATTTAAATTTGGGAAATATATTTATAAGCAATAAATTTATGAGTTTAATAAAATCTAAGTTTTAGTCTTTTCGGGGCAGATTTCTCGGTTATAACAGCGCTCGTATTAGTTCGCAACAGTTAGCTTTTCAGCTAACCTTTGACCAGGGTCGTTTGTTTGTTATACAAGTTGAATCTTAATTAATTATTCACATTTTCGCATATTTATTCGAGTATACTATATCGCAAAAAGTCTTAGTGATGTTGAGTTAAGAAACACAGAGAAACAACGGACAGAGTTTGATTACAAATGTAAGCAGTAGTAATAAGAGGGCTACCTTCTCTGACAGGTCACTGCCTATCGACTGCCAACTGCTAGGAAATTAAACGCATACATAAAACTACGTAACTACGCGGCACTAATTCTCATATGTAGACGCATTATATTCCCTATCATACTAACGCAATTGATTCGTTTGTATTGTAAAGAAAAATGAAGAAAAATATTTTTGTATGAAGCTGTTTCGCAAAGAATCTTTGTTATTCATTTCTGCCAACTTGAAAAAAATCTTATCCTCAATAATAAAAATGTGTTTAAGCTTGTAGAGCCGTGTTTAAGATTTCGTTATTTTTCTTCGTTTATCTTCGCCTATTTCTCTACACGTATATATTTATTGGTTCGGAACGTACGTAGATATATTCAACGATAAATATGCCATTTAGTTCTATCTTTTGTAATCCTTGATGCAGATTGATCATTTTATTCTCCCAGAACTTGGCTTCTTTCTGGGTAAATAAATTGGTATATGTGTTTTTATAGGCTTCCCAATAATTGAAGTTCTTATAAAGAGAATGTTGTAACGATCGAAATAACGAGTAATCTGAATGTGTGAGGGTCTTGGGAAAACGACAGATTTAGTAGGAGATCCGAGCTAAGTTCTACCAATTTTTATAAAGTTTTGCAAAGAGACTGGCAGTGTCCTGGCGGAATACAACACTCTTCAGATTAGCCAATTCTGCACAGTTTTCATCGATTGCTGCCTTTAATCGGCCCAGTTTGGAAAATAGTTGTCTGAATTCAAACTGATTTCGAAAAAGAGTCTCGTAATACACAATAAAATTCCAAACCCACTAGATAAACAGTATGACTTTTTGGTTGCAGATCGGCTTTTAGGGTA